CCATGTGAGTTTTCCCGACTATTTTTTGCCCTTTGATACACAGCCACTTTTTTATCGTTACTCTTTTTCTTTGCCAATGTAAATTTCATTCTTTCCTGCACTACAGCAAAAATCATTTGGTCTGGAACAACTCTATATGTATCACTAGCATGTACATCGAGACATAGTGAAGAACTGGTTATTTACATAACATTCTAATTGTGACGTTTACTTTAAAAATGTAGCTTTTGTGATTAAAAAAATAAATCTGAAATTGACCAAGTGAGATAAAGCTACAGTCAATAATAATATTTCAAGTAGAAATAGCCAATGACAGGAGCAAACAATTCAGAATTATTAATATTATACAATAAAATAACTCATATTTCATTATTTCATACAATGTCATTTGCAAAAGATATTTCAAATGATATTTTTTTACATAAACGACATTTTCATGTAGATTTGAATGAATTAAAAGCTATAGACTATAAATAATATATTTTGCATCAATTTACAAATAAAAATTAATGCCATAGCAAACAAATGTCAATGCAAATATAAATACTATTAAATTCAGGAACTGATAGGGTATTAGTTTGAATCAAAACAATAATACGATATAGGTATATGTATCGATTATTTACATGATACTTTTATTAATACTATGTCTGTTTATAAATCTTTTAAGATGGTTTTTTGTCATTATTCTATTTATGGATATCTTGTTATTAGTTGTGTAGCATACTATATTTTGCCATCGGCCATGTTATTTGCGTTGACAACAATTATAATGTTTTGCAGGCAATGCATGGCCGATCTCTCTAACATACTTGTTCTGTACCTTTCAGTCCGTCTTGTCTCTTTTGCTCGTCTTTCTCTCATTCCATCAGCAATTCTCTCTCTCCCCCTGGCTCACATGGTACTTTACTTTATTTGACCACGCATCTCAGAGCGTCTGGCACACACCGAGAGCGAATAAGAAAGGTATATCTAGAGAAGGAGGAACTCTACTCACAGGCGTGATTTACCGTCGATGCAAATTAGATGTCGGGTCAAGTCGTCGGCTTAATCAAAACTTTTTTCCTCCCTCTTTCTCTCTCGTTCATTTCTTTTATTCATCCTTGGCCTTTTTTTACTCTCACTTCTCTTGTACTTATCTTCCACTAGCATATTCTCTACAATGTTTACTGCTTATTCGCTGTGAAATATGATTAAGAATAATATTTCCTGGATTTTTTATGCCCCACCTTTCTCAGACAATTATCATCTGAGAACAGAATATATTATACATACATGTACTAGAATGTCGCACGAGTTTGCACATGTTTCTTCTTCTACATTTATTTCCTCGTCTTATTCATATCATTCAACTTCTCTCCTTCTCTCTTGGTGTAGTCTGTTGCACAGAAGCACACCCACAGTAAAGACGTGTGCAAAGTCCCTTTGCACGTTCAACGGGACTTGAGCTCAACCGTTTCCTCCTGCAGACTTTTAATCGCTCACTCTTGAACGTTTACCCTAGATATTCCCACGGTTGATCAGAACGTGTGGCCACGACATCTCGTGCTGACCATACACTGTGGAAATAAGAGTATATTATAACGCAGTAACTACTCCTGTCAACAGAACATTTAGAAAGAAAATATCAAATTAACTTTTCAGTTATTTTATTTATTTAATTGCCTTGAGAAATATTGCTGAATTAATATACAAATATGATTAATTTAACAAACGACAAAAAAAATATACCGTGAGGTATAAGTGAAGTTGGAGTTCTAAACGGTGGGTGGATGGTCAAGAGAAACAGAGAACTCGCAGCTTTCGATGTCATACATACACTGCAAATCGAAGTGTTTGACTTTAATTTGCTTGAAGTGCATTAATTGTTGTAGTAGCTTTTTAGTCACTTCAACGTGCATTAAAAATTTCAAAACACATACACTGCATTAGAACTATGCACTAATGAGATTTACTTTAATGCACATAATATTTAGTAACTTTAGTGCGTTCTGTCTTATAAATAAAAGATATTATTAATGTACAGGATAAAATGAAATCCGAAAAATTTGTAAAATATATTCATTTATTTATGATATGTCAGTAAAACCTATTTTATAAAACTTTCTTGTTAAATATTGAAACATATTAATATAATTGTAGCTACAATATTTTCAATAACATAGGTTGTAATCAATTTATGAGAAGTATCAGCGGAAAGTGAATATTCAAAGGAAGTTAACATTTGAGAAAATTTATTAAGAGTGTTCGTTTTCTGCAGAGTCTTTTTGTGTTTCCTGAACAATAGCATCTCTTTTTCTAATGAATCTTGAAATTACCTGATTAGCTTGAACGGATGTGCCTAACAAAGCGTTATCAATATATTGTAATATATTTTTGTATGGAGAAGGATATTTTACATGCCAAACATAATAAGTCGACATTAAACAAACAACGATGTTTTCCATTGTCGGTGATTTCATCTTCACCTGCGTCTTATTGTCTGCTACAACGTATGCCACTGCAATTCTTCCTTCATCCATATAAATCACACACCTAGGAGATTCGCCTGGACCAGCTTCAATGTCTTCAATAGAAGAATTAACCTGTAATGATACCTTCTTTAAAGAGCAATTCAAATGATATCTTTTTACTTAATCAATTATTTTCGAAAATTTTTAATATTGATTGTGAATTAATAACTCACTTGGTTCAATTTAAATAACGGTATTGCATTTTTGTTTACTTTTCTTGATAATTCTCCATATAATTTTGACAAAACCTGGTATTTAGATTCATCTGTAATTTCGCCAATTCGATAACATTCTAATAGTTTTTGAAACATAAAATTAGCGTTTGTATTTAAATCGTCAAGACTCAAATTTTTCATTGCACAAAATTCAAAAAGAATCTAAAAAAAAGCGATTAAAAAAATGTTATTGTTGTAATACTTTCATATTTTATACCTTGATACTTTTGTATTATTATACAAAAAGACATTTTATACGTACTAGATTATAAACCTTCAGTTGAGGATATAGTTCAACTATATTTTCGATTGATTTAGCTTCATTTTGAATCCATTGGTGTCTTTGAGGCAAAGTTATTTTTAATAACTTTTTCACGTGTGGTAAGTTTCTTTCGCTATGATTTTTTTGTAGTTCTCTCAGTGCTCTTTGGATATCAGCGTCGTCTATTTGATTTCTGTAATTTCACAGCATTTTAACTATAGCTTGATCCATAAGTGATTTTGAATTAGAAAGTATGTTAAATATAGTAAAAACGCAAGGTTTTTTGGAAAATTCTAAAAAAATTAATAATAATAGTCTGTTTCTCATTAATTGAAAAAAGCTTGTTTGGGTCTACATAATTTTGTATTAAGTTATTCTTAAAGTAAGAATGAAAAATTTCTTAATTGGAATAGCAATTCTAATAATGATTAACAATTAAGTAACATTAATTTTAATATTTACATTTATCATTCATTACAATGAAGAGATTAATGATTAATTATTGAGTTCTCGAAGAAAACTTACATTTCTTTCACCTCTACGGATGCTCTTGAAAGTATCTTTCCATCTTTATCTCTTTTGGCGGCTTGTGTTTTTAAATAGGCCCGGTGGTTACGAATCCACGCACTCAATTGTTTTCTAACAATACCCTTAAAATGAAACAAATTTGTTATCATAAATAGAAAATCCATTAGTAGAATAATGCAACTATAAGCTATTAAACTTGAATCATCACATTTGTTGAAAAATCTTTACTTACTATTCCACCAGCACCACCACGTAGTTCAGGGAATTTAGTCGTTATTTGGGTTGCAAAGTTAGCATAATCTTCTGATGAAGGTTTAGTATCAGTAATTTCCCATAAGTAATTTCCCCAAAAGCTTATTATATATGTATTAGAAGCCAAGACACCATGAGATTTGATTTTATTTTCTATGTCAATTGTTAATTTAGGTAAGGTGATTTCATGCGGTTTTAGATTTTTAGATTTTGGTATGTCAGATAATTTTTTCCTTTCACTCTCAGAAAAATTTTCATTTGACACATTATCAACCTATGAACAAAACAATAATTCATGAAGATACAACATTGCAACATGCGAATATTACTAAACAATAAAAGCGATTATGATTTTTTCTTACCTCAATATCGTTTTCTTTATCAGTTTCCGCATGATCAGGATAAAATTTATGTTGTACATCAACGGACGCCATAAAAGGTTCGGTATACACAACTTTAACCTCACTATTTCCCGCCAATTCTTCAGCTGCACAACTTTGAGATGTCGATGGGATAATAAATTCTTGGTAAATTGGCACTAATAAAACGTTGATATTATCTAGATTATTAATTTCTTCGGCGTCTTCAATATCAACATGAATTCCAGCATCAACATCTTTTTTTTGCAAAATGATTTCTTTGTTCTCGAGCGATGCTTTTAATGACGAGTCTCGTACACAAAGCTCTAACAGTTTATTTTTTACTATTTCTTTGTCAGAAATAGTCTTTAAGCTGATAAATTTTACACATTTACACCTACCCAAAATTGCACAGAAGATTTTCTTTTCCATTTTTATTTCGTTTCACTTTCAATTAGATTTTCATTCGATCACTGATTTTACTAGATTTCTTTGTATGTAAAGTAAGACCCACGCGTTCCACGTTTGTGCGGTTAAACACGGTAACTGGGACTGTGCGCAGAAACTTGCGCAAACTTTAACGCGTCCTGTAAACGTTGTGACAGTGAGCACGATTTCCGGATAGCTATTCGAAAAATTTGATTAAATTATTTGGAAACATAATCTAATTACATCAACACATTCATCCATGTAATGAAAATTTTTATGAAATTAGTTTTATTAATCAAAAAGAAACTTAGTATTTTATGTAGATATAACCTTAAAAAGTTTGGTTATGACAGTGAGTAACACTTATGTATATGTCAGCTGATTAGTTATTGAAAATGAATGGAGACAATATTTTTATTAAATGCACAATGTGTTTTTTCAAATGTTATTCGAAATCACTTTATTAAAACATGTAGTGCGATATCACCAACTTGATCAGCGTTTTAAAGTTAGCTGTGCAGAGGATGGATGTGGAGCAATTTACACCAAATGGAAATCTTTTCAGCAGCATGTTTACAGAAAACATCCAACACTTTCAACAATTCTTGATGAAAGACCATTAGTACATGATAATGGACAGCAAGAACAAGATTTTGGAGTTAGAGATGAATTAAATGATGAAGAAGGTAAGCAAAATTCTAATGTACTTTGTGAGTGCACGTAGATCACTTATCAATTTTTAATCGTTACAATCACGCCAGATGCAACCCTTGTAATAACTTTATTTGTCTTAATAAATCAGGAATGACAGAAAGAGCTGAATATGCTACAATGAAGAATCTTCAATGGTATGCTGCTAAATTAATAATAGATATAAGAGAAAACTGTAAAATTTCTCAGACATCAATAGATCAGGTCATTAACGGAATCACTTCACTGGTAGATGTTTATTTATCAATAATATTGGTGAGTATTATAGCAGATATTTTCTGAATTGTTCAAATACATTTTCATAGTAACCAATTGTAATATTTAATCGCTGGGCTATGATTTCTTTTGAATTAATTTTTTATGAAAGAAGGATAATATCTTTGATGTCATTTTAACCATTTTACAGGAAGAATGTCAAAAGAAAACAGATCCTGTAAGTCACATGCTTTCAATAGACGATGTTAACACTATATGTATGGAAGAGTATCCATCAACTACACTCTTTTCTATATTACAATCAAAATCTACTCTTGATAAATTTTTAATTGAAGAAATGCGCATGGTACAAGCTACAGAAGTTAAGATTTCGTCAAAATGGCAATGGAAACAAAAAAAGAGGCTTTCTACAATTTCTAGAGACTTATGTGAAGTTACACATTGTGCATACATTGTTCCTTTTCTGGAAAATTTAACTAATCTGTTAATGAACGATGAAGTTAGATTGCATATAGACAATCCTCTCGATCATGACCCAAGTGTATACCGTACAGTGTTGGACGGTTCATATTATCGAGAAAATGAGTTTTTTCGTAATAATAAAAACTCTTTAGCAATATCGTTATATTACGATGATGTGGGGATTACCAACCCTTCAGGAGCTAGTTCTAAAAATCAGAAGTTAGCAATGTTTTATTGGACTCTTCTAAATATTAAGCCCGAGTTACGATCTTCAAACAACACCGTTCAATTGTATGCCATTGTTAAAACAATATATTTGAAAGAACCGAATGCCTTAGAAAAAATTTTGAGACCTTTCATCGATGATATTGAAATATTACGAACAGAAGGTTTAAATATGTATGTTAACGGAGTAAGGAAAAATTACAAAGGCTCATTATTGAACATTCTAGGAGATACACCTGCATCAGCTTTGATGGCCGGTTTTAAAGAATCTGTGGCTGCATATCGACCATGTCGTTTGTGTATGGTAACAAAAGATGTATTAAAACTAAATCCTTTTGAAAATGAGCAACTACTGCGGAATAAAGATTTACACATGCAATATTTAAATGATATCAACGAGCCAGGTATCACGAAAGCCGCGAAAAAATACTGGCAATTATCGTATGGTATAAATGGTGTGAGTCCAGTTGTAAACATACCTTACTTTGATGTAACACAATGTTTACCAATAGACTGCATGCATATCCTTCTTGAGGAATTGTTGAGCAGAATATAAGATTATTTTTGAAGTATTGCATTGTTCAAAACGAACTTTCACGATTAACAATTTTAATATAAAACTGTCTACATTCAATTATGGTCATTTCAATCGAGATAAACCCGCTGAAATCCAATTAAAGGATCTTGATGACGTTTTGCGACAAAGTGCCGCTCAAACTTTTGTACTTGCTCATACACTTCCATTTTTAATTCTCCAATTAGTTGATAATGACGGAGAAGATCTCAATGACCGAATCGACTGTTTTAGTTTACTACTAAAAGTTATGAATTTATGTTTAGCATATCAAATAAGTAGGGATTCAGTAGATTTATTAAGTAGGATGATCGATATATTTATAACACGTTTCAATGGGCTGTATCCGAATAGTATAATACCAAAAACACATTTTTTAACGCACGTTCCACGATGTATAAGATTATTTGGACCTCCAAGACAACACTGGTGCTTCAGATTCGAATCTGCCCACGCTTATTTCAAATCACTTGTACCAGTTGTTCGCAACTTCAAAACATGCCTTTAACCATGATCTATAGACAACCAAAGTCGTATTTGTTCTCGCCTTTTTTCTAATCCGGTCAATCTTCAAAACTGTGTTTTTACACGAAAGTAAAATAATTGTTCCTGGTCTAAATCATTATTTCACACACTACAAATATGCCTCATTGCTATATCCATTAATACCACATGAACTTCAGGAACATGTTCAATAATGGTGTCTCCAAAAGTGGCCATTTATGGAGCGATTTTTAAGAAAGGCAGCATTATTTTGTTAAGTTGTATGAAGATCTTCCACTAGAATTTGGTGAAATACTGGATATCTGCGTTTATGATAGCAAAATTTTTTTTGTAATCTTAAATTAGAAACAATCTGTTATAATAGAAATCTTAATTCTTATCAAGTGTTAAGCCTATAGCCACAGTCCAACAAATATTACTTGGAGCTGATGACCTATTGTTTCCTCACCCACTATTACGAGTTAATTTAGATAATAAAACTTTTGTACTACTCATTAATCATGAAAGATGTGAATTTTTTTAATGATAAATGGAAATAAAAAATTATATTATAATAAGAAAATGTAGATATTTGTATAATCTCTTTGGAATATTATTATATTTTACCTTTAAAAGTTCAATCCTACAGAAACATACAAATACAAAATAAACAGGATGAGCATTTTATTAGTATATAAATTATGCATTTCATACGTTTTGAATTAATATGTTCAATGTGTTTTGAAATGAAACACCTAAATGTATTATATATTTAATGTATTACAAGTGTATTAAAACAAAATGTATCAATGCATCATTGACACAAAATAATGCACACGAGGCATATAATTTCAAAACTATTCATAAAATGCACGTACATATATTAAAATAAAACACGTACAGTGTTTTGAATAAAACACTG